GGCGGGGGCCAGCAGCTCGCGGCCCGCGTCCTCGCGGAGCTCGGGGCGGCTCCGCACGGCCTCCTGGAAGCGGTCGAAGCCCACGTCCGCGGTTTCCTGCATCTGCGCCCGGACGCGCGCCTGGTCCTCGGCCGACAGCACGGCCTGGAACTGCCTCCGCGCCGCCGACGGGCTCTCGCGGAAGGCCTCGTGCAGATCCCGGAGCGTGTCCTGGGCCCGGCCGTCCAGGAAGAAGGCCGCGGCCGCGCGGGTGACCAGCAGGGCGGCCAGGGGCTCCCCTGGGGAGAGAAACAGAGGCGTGGGTGGATGTCACCGTAGTCCCTGGGGGTGTCGCCGTAGCCCCCCACCCCGTCCAGTGGTCTGCACCCTCTGCAGTACTGCTCAGGGCGTTTCCCTCCAGTCCCCCAGTAGCCCAGGACACGGTCACCGCCAGGAGAGCCCAGGCAGGAGCCCCCGAAGCCCAGGCGGATTAGAACGAGCCCGACAACCGGGGGGAGGCAGGCGCCCTGCGTGCCACCAGCGCTGACCTCTCAGGGTGGGTTCAAAGTCGATGGAAATCTAGTTACAACCCCCACCCCCCACCTTGTAAGGACGGGTTTTAGGATCGCGTCTCCTCTTCTGAGAACCAGACCCCCGTCCCCCACCCACACCCCAGCTCAGAGCCTGAGGTTCTGGTTCTGTGACCTTTACAGGGGCCACTTGTTCCTGGACGTCTTTGTTTCTTGCCGTCTTCGGGCTCCGTGGCACCCAATGCCACGTCTCTACGGCAGAGACCTCCCCGGCACGGGACGTTGCTCCCGATGCGGCTTCCTGAGTGGGTGCACGTGGGTGATTTACGCGATCTCACCGTGCCTGTTTCCTGTTCTGCATTACAGTGGGGACTACAATGGTCTACACTCGCAGGGCTGTAAGGGTTAAGCGAATTAACGTATATCCAGTGTCTGGAACAGAGCTTGGTGCGCGGTGTGTCCCAGTGAGGTTCGGGGTCAGCAGCGGCCTCTCCTGCCCCACTGTCCTATTCTATGTCTGAGCAACTTAAACGCGCCTGGGTGACCTGGGCTTTCTGACTGGTAAAGAAAGCTTAGCTGCCCCGTCTCCAAAAGGGCCTCAGGCAGAGTGTGCACCGTGGAGAGAATCACAGAAGACTCAATGCCGGGAGGGGCTTAAGGTCATGACCCCCTCCCCCCTTCTTTTAGGGGCTGGGAAAGTAACTTCGTGGAGCCCGAGAGTGTGGCCATCCCAGATCTCTCTGATTCAGTGCTTTGTGCACCGAGTCCTATGGAATTTCCAGAGAGAGAGCTTTTCCTTCTAACCTAATAGCAACAACAATGAAGCCTTTCCATTCAAACAGGACTCTGTAGAGGGCAAAACACTTGCACAGG